TGTCGCTTCAAAGGGAGAGATTTTCCTTTTCAGCCCAGAAGACTGGGGACAGATGTGGTGAACTGCCTGGTGACCAGTGAGCCATCTGATCTGTGTGGCTGAGACCACACCCAATCTTACCCCTAGACCCTATCATAAGCTTGTCAATCTGAGAACCCATCTTTATGATGTCACATGTAGTCAGTAGACTGACCCCATCTTTATGGAAGATGTCACATGTACTTTACAAAGGGTTTCAATGTGGTCACATCTTAAGCTTTTTTGTGCACATGGGATTGAGTTATTGTCATCAGGAACGATTTCACAAAAATGTGCTGTGCTTAAATTTGCCTGAAAAAAGTGACTTGGGGTCAGACTTTCTAAGCTTGAACCAACACTGCCTGGCTCCTTAGTCATGCAGAACTGAGCTCCTTTCTACTCTGCTGGCCGATGTCCCCTACTAGTTCCTGTCGTGCAGTCCCTGTTCTCTGGCTGGCGGAGGCTGTGGAAGCTGAGGTTTACCTGAGGGAAGAGGGTCACTGGGGGCCAGCCTCTGAAAGTCAGACTTTGCCCTCGGTTCCTATGTTCTGCCTGTTCCATGGCCCATGGTGTGTGAACAGCCTCCACTACACACTTGGACCTCCTCCCAGTCTTCTGGCCAGGATGGGGTGCACCATCTTGCAATCCTGAGCCCAGATCCACCTTCCCGTCTTTAAGCTATACCTGTTGGGTATTTTGGCTGCCGTGGCTCAGAAATGGTGAGCACAGGCTAAACGTCAGGAGTCCCATCTGTTCTCTTTTCCTTTCTGATGCTGCAATAAAACACTGCAGTAAAGCTAGTAGGCGGAAAGGGGTCATTTCACAGGTCATAGTCCACGAGGGCAGTCAGGGCAGGAGCTCAGGCCGGAACGGTGGAAGATCACTGCAGCTGGCTCCTTCGGGCTTCTGCTTAGCTAGCTTGCTTTTCATTCTGTCCTTCTTTTTCTTTCTTTTTTATTATTTATGTTTTGTTTTGTTTGATGTTTTAGAGAAAGGGTTTCTCTGTGTAGCCATGGCTGTCCTGGAACTCACTCTGTAGACCAGGCTGGCCTCCTCTTGCCTCCGCCTCTCAAGTGCTGGGATAAAAGGCATGCACCACCACTGTATTGTTTAGCTAGCTTTCTTATGTAACCCTGAACCTCCAGCCTAGGGAATGGTGCCCTCTTGACAAGATAACCCCCATAGTCATGCCCACAGACTGACCTGATCTGGGCAATATCTCAGTTGAGACTACACCTTCTCAGGGCACTCTTGGCCCTGTCGAATTGACAGTTAAAGCTATCCAGTACACTACCATGGCCTCCCAGCCTTGTTAAGTTTGCTAAGCAACTGATAGGACTCAAAACAAGCGCTAGGGACGGAATCTTGTAACTTCCACTCTGTGTGGTATATTTGACTGCTGGTGTGTGTGTGTGTGTGTGTGTGTGTGTGTGTCTGTGTGTCTGTGTGTGTGTGTGTTTTCCTGGTACAAGGTATTTGCCAAGCAAGTGGACTATTGCTGGGCCACGCCCCCAGGAAGTTCAGCTGTTTGGAAGCTCTCCCAGTTCAGTCCTTTTGAGGTTTTATGAAGGCTGCACAGGCAGGATTGTTAGCAGATTGGGTGGGGAAACCACGAAAAACCTGTTGGGTCAGTTTCTTCCTGGTTGCCTCACAGCATTCCTTCCTACAGGGAAAGGGACAGGATGTGCAGGGATGCAAGGTCTTTTTGAAGCACCGGGTTAAGTCCCCCCAGTGAGAATTTACTCCAAACACTTAGAGAATAAGATAAAAATCTCTTTAATAGTCTCAATCCAGCCAGGCAGTGGTTGGTGCACACCTTTAATCCCAGCACTCAGGAGGCAGAGGCAGGCGGATCTCTGTGAGTTCGAGGACAGCCTGGTCTACAAAAACTAGTTTCAGGACAAGCTTCAAAGCTACAGTGAAACCTTGTCTCAAAAAAACAAAACAAAAAAAAAGTCCCAAACCAGTCCCAAACAGACATTAGTAATGGATTACACAGGATTTAGGTTTTAACATCCCACATACACTGTTATCTGTACATCTCCCTAAGTCCAACCCCAAGTTACGCCCAGCAATTAAACAGAGACAAGAGACTATAAACCTGACCATTTTCAGCAATTGAAAGATTTACATAGCAAAGTTATGGTCACAATTCCTTTTGAAATATATTTGTACGGTTGTACGGTTCCTTGTGCGTTGGTGTTACCCAGGGCACTGCCTGGCAGAATTACCTCATCCCGATAAGAGAACCAGGACTTAATGGCAAACTAGAACTCAAGGGTGGTTGCTTTCCCTTTGAACTGCCAGGTAGAGGCATAGCCTTTGATATGGGAATAGAGCCGAACAGGCAGCAATCTTAGTGGACAAATCTCAACAGAAACAGTCTGAGCAAGCCTAAACTGCAATTATGTTGAAGGTCCAACATTTTCCCCACAGTTTGACAAGTCAGGCTAGTCCACTATCTTATCATATTAGAGACAGCACAGCTGTAAGTGAGTCCGACCTTGTGCAACCTAGAATTTCCTAAGCAAGTTTATTGGTGAATCCTTGTAATGTCAATTTATTACTCTCAGTTTCTATAGTACCATTGAGACCTACTACTCCAGGAAATAAGTCAGGGTCACGATTCAGGAATGGTGGACAAAAACATAAACAGACATTTTGTTTTGTTTTTATTGAGTTAGGGTTTTACTATGTAACTCCAAACTGGCTCTCTGCCTCAGCCTTTCAAGGTCTGGGATTACAGGTTTGCACACCTTGTCCATTCTCGTTTTTGTTTTTCAAGACAAGGTTTCTCTGTGTAGCCCTGGCTGGTCTCAAACTCACTGAGACCCGTCTGCCTCTGCCTCCCAAGTGCTGGGATTAAAGGTGTGTGCCACCACCACCTGGCACCATTTCCGTTTTATAGTGTGTTGTCTCTGTCTCTCTCCAGTATATGTCTGTGTGCATGTGTGTCTAGTGTAGGCTGACACTGGAATGCTCTCCAGTGTGTCTAGCGTAGGCTGACACTGGAATGCTCTCCAGTGTGTCTAGCGTAGGCTGACACTGGAATGCTCTCCAGTGTGTCTAGCGTAGGCTGACACTGGAATGCTCTCCAGTGTGTCTAGCGTAGGCTGACACTGGAATGCTCTCCAGTGTGTCTAGCGTAGGCTGACACTGGAATGCTCTCCAGTGTGTCTAGCGTAGGCTGACACTGGAATGCTCTCCAGTGTGTCTAGCGTAGGCTGACACTGGAATGCTCTCCAGTGTGTCTAGCGTAGGCTGACACTGGAATGCTCTCCAGTGTGTCTAGCGTAGGCTGACACTGGAATGCTCTCCAGTGTGTCTAGCGTAGGCTGACACTGGAATGCTCTCCAGTGTGTCTAGCGTAGGCTGACACTGGAATGCTCTCCAGTGTGTGTTTCCCTACATTATTTTATTTATATCTGTGTGTGTTTATGGGCATTTGCTTGCTGGCCTAATGTGTGGACGCAGGTGTGAAGGTAAGAGGATCAGGAGTTGATTCTCTTCTGCTACTATGTGGGCTCTCTGGGCTTTACACTCAAGTCAGGTGTGGCGGCGGATACCTTTACCCACTTTTTTTTTTTTTTTTTTTTTGGTTTTTTCGAGACAGGGTTTCTCTGTGGTTTTGGAGCCTGTCCTGGAACTAGCTCTTGTAGTCCAGGCTGGTCTCGAACTCACAGAGATCCGCCTGCCTCTGCCTCCCGAGTGCTGGGATTAAAGGCGTGCACCACCACCGCCCGGCTCACTTTTTTTTTTTTTTTTGCCAGCACCATATTTAATTATTTTATGTAAGAGTGTTTTGCTTGCATGTATAAATGTGCACCGCATGTGTGCCTGGTGCCCATGGAGGTCAGAAGAGGGCATTGGACGCCCTGGAACTGGACTTACAGAAGGTTGTGAGTTGCCGTGTCGGTGTTGGGAATTGAACCTGGGTCTGCAAGAATAGCAGAATGCTCTTAACTACTGCCCATCTCTCTAGCATCCATATTATCTTTCATTATTATTTTTATTTTATGTGCATTGATGCTTTGTCTGCATGTATGTCTGTGTGAGGGTGTCAGAGCCCTGGAACTGGAGATATAGATGGTTGGGAGCTGCCATGTGGATGCTGGGAATTGACCTAGGTCCTCTGAAAGGGTAGCCCGTGCTCTTAACAACCGAGCCACCTCCCCAGTCCCCCACACTGTGTTTTAAGACAGGGTCTCTCACTGAACCTGAAGCTTGCTGTTTTGGCTAGATGGCAGGCCAGTGACAGTCCCCACCCCCAACATCTGTCTGTCTCTACCTCTGCCCAGATGTTATGGACACCTGTTGCTACACCAAGGACCTGAATTCAGGTCCTCATGCCTGCACAACAAGCTCTTTATCCACCTCCCCAGTCTAGTTCAGTTTTGGAGACATGGTCTTACTATGTAGCCCAGGCTAGCTTAGAACTTTGGGGAATCCTCCTGCTTCAGCTTTCTAAAGCTGCAGTGGATGATAGGTCACAGAGATTAGGGCAGCCATGTTTTCAGGGCAGATGGGAAGCCTATCCCATTGTTTCCTAAAGTCTATGTTCCAGCGCCACTGTCCTGAATACCTTCTATGTTCCAGCGCCACTGTCCTGAATACCTACTATGTTCCAGTGCCACTGTCCTGAATACCTACTATGTTTTAATGCCACTGTCCTGAATACCTTCTATGTTCCAGCGCCACTGTCCTGAATACCTTCTATGTTCCAGCACCACTGTCCTGAATACCTACTATGTTGCAATGCCACAGTGTCCTCACAGTCTTGTGCTCAAGTAATTCTCCCACCCCATTCTCCAGAGTAGCTGGGGATACTGGCCCATGGCATCCCCACACCTCTCCACACTTCTCCAGAGGAATCCAGAATAAGCTCCCATCTCAGGTCCAGACATGCCGTCCTTTCTGTAAAGTTCTCTTGACCAGGTGAAGTGCCATAGTCACAGATAGGATCCACACGTGGATACCTTTGGGAGACTGTGCCTTTATTCTGCCTGCCCCAAAGACGGTCAGGCAAGGGTTGTAGTTTTAGTACTGTTTGGGGGTTTGTATTTGCTGGGGAGACTTTCATTGAGGTAACATCGGAGCAGACCAGGAGGGGATAGAGGGGAGGGAGGAGTGCTGTGGATTTTAGGGAAGGGCTGATATTAACTGGGAACAGCCAGTGCAAAAGGCACATCCCCTTTCCTGCCCCACCCTCCACGCTGCTCCAGATGCCTCCAGCATCTCTCTTAGCAGGGAAGTGGGCCAAAAGGCCCAGAGTTGACTGGAGTTGGAGAACCCAACCATCATTGGTCCCCTGTGGCCCATGGCTCCTCAAAGGGCAGGCCAGCCTGTGGGAGAGATAGGATGCTGTGTCAGAGGTGCAAGAGACCCCACCCTCCCTTTGATCTGGATCCCACACAGGTAGTCCATCACCTGGGCTGTGGGCTGGGCTTGCTGGTGCAGTGTCCGCCTGCGGTGCCACTGGCGCAGGGAGGCTCGGGCCTCGGAGCTGAGATCCTGGGGTGCACGGCCAGCGTCGGGCTGGTAGTGAGCAATGTGATAGAGAGCCCCAAACCACGTAGTAAGATAATAGCCAGCTGGGGAAGAAAAGGGGAGATCATCATGGCTCTCTGGGCTCCTCCCTACTGCCTGTCACCCCTTCTGAGGCACAAGAAGCTGGGGCTCGCCGAGGGTGCCCCCTTTTCAGTATCTGGACACCCTGAAGGTGGGAGCTCACCTTCTCCCCGCAGTTCCTCTGGATCCAAGAGCTCCATAAGAAACTCCACATCCAGCTGCGTCTCCCCTATGTGTGGACTCCAGATCAGCTCCTCGGTCAGGGCTGGCAAAAAGGCGTCGGCCCCTAGGGGCTCTAAGGAAGACCAAGGACAGGTCGCGAGTGTTTGCAGGAGTACATACACACACTTTGCTTCGGGTCCCCAGGCCTGGGTACCCACCATTAAACCACTCTAAGGTTCAGAGGTTCTTTACCTTGATTCTCGCCTCCGGCCAGGCCCGCGTAGACGTCGTTGCACACCGCCAGCAGCAGTGCCACCTTGCGGCGCGGGGCGCATGCGGCGTGCAGATGCGCGAGGCGCGCATGGATCTGGCTCCGCAAGGCTGGAACAGGGCTCTGTCCCTCGGGCCCCGCCCCTGCCCTCAAGGCTGTTTGGCGCCGGCGCAGTAGCCGCAATTCCTGGGCTCTGAGAGTTCGGAGTTTGGTCCACAGGGCCGGCTTCAGGGGCTCCAGAACCGCCCGACACAGGGCTACTTCCACAGCGGGGCCTGCGGGGCGTGTGGCATGTGAGGACAGTGCCGTCGTGGTGACCCACTCTGATCCGTAGTCACCCTGTCTCCTGCTCCAGGACACTTACAAGTGTAGACAGGGGTGGGAGCGTGGGGGTGTAAATGCTCCGAAGATGGGAGAGTCTAACCGGCAATGCACGTGTTTGGTGGAGCTACGATGCAGTAGCTATAAGAAGTAAGAGTGTGCTTGCCCATGGGAAGTGAGGGGTTGGATGTGAACACATACTGAACCGAGTCATGGCCTCCCCAAACCTTGGGAAGTTTCCCTCTAATTCTCATTACCAAGATCCTCGTCTCCAGGGACCCTAGGTTCCCTGTTCCCAAAGACAGCTCTGACGTCGGGATCCTTTGCCAGGTAATTCTGGAGATCATTGAGAAGCTGGCGCACATCCTGAAGCAGCTCCGTGGCCGGATCCCCAGGCCTGTAAGGATTTCCAGAATTTGATGTGAGGCGTGCCCGAAGGTATCGGTACTGTTTGGCTACATAGCTGCTCCGGGCCCTGGCCAGAGCGCTGATGTGGGCAGTGAGCAGGTCCTCGCGACCTTCCTCTTCATCTTTACAGCTCACTTCCTCCTTCTCTTCCACCACACTGTCTAGAGCAGGCCTAGGCGAGTGTACATCTGCTCCAGGAAGGGACACTTCGGGTTCCAGGTGATGAACGTCTGGTCCAGGATGATGCACTTCCGGTTTCAGTGGCTCTTCCACCCAGGAGACGCGATGTGGGGTGGGCTTCCTAGGGGCTGGATGTGAGAAGCAGGTCGGGTCTCTTACATCGCTGGCACTCATTCCCCCATCCCTCAGGGTACGCGGGCCCTGCCCAGCTAACCTAGACTGTATTTCTGGTCAGTCTCTGGCTCTGTCTGCTGCGGAGTCTGCTCTGTGCCCCAGCCTCCATGCGTCTCCAGGTAGAGCTGGTTCACTACAGACAGCACCCTCCCTGAGGTGCTGACCTGGATGCAGCCAAGTCGCAGAGGATCTAAGGGCAAGCAGAAAAGACAAGGTGTCCCAGGTTTGTAGGGGGCAGCCAGGAGGCTTCAGCCCCAACCTTCCTCTTTCAGGACCGAGAATTCAGTCCCAGCTCCCAGGGGCTCCAGCCCAGGATCCAGGAGTGGTCTCACCCCCTATTGCCACAGCTCCTGCTGCTTTCTCCTCCTCCTCTGCTGCCCTCTTCCCCTTCCTGTTTGTTTCTTTGAGACAGGGTTTCTCTGCAGCTTGGGGGCCTGTCCTGGAACTCGCTCCGTAGACCAGGCTGGCCTCAGACTCACAGAGACCCACGTGCCTCTGCCTCCCAAGTGCTGTGATTAAAGGCGTGTATCACCCCTACCGGGTCCACCAGTTTCTTTTCATACTTACTTCAAGTCCAGCTTCACTTTCTCACAAATCCAGTTATCTGGTCCTAATTTATATCCAGTCTCTCTGGACCTAAGAGACCAGCAAGTTGACGTCCCCTCCCTCCCTGGGAGCAGCGTGCCTCACCTGTGTCCTTGTCCCCAGGCCCTACAGCTGGAGTGGGCAAGAGCAGTGTCCTTGGCAAAACATCCCTGAGGATAAAAAAAAACCCTCAGTATGGATGGGGTATCCCAGGGAAGGGTCCCCATTGCCACTGTGCCAGGGGACCTGTACCTGCTGGCTGATAGGAAGGCCAAGAGATGGGGACAGTCTGGCATGCAGAGGTTGGAGGACTCCAGGGACACACCTGGTAAGGGAATGGAAAAGAAAAGTCATGGAGTAACTAGGCCACCTCCACTCTGCCTCTCTGGCCCAGGCTCCTCCTACCCCACTCCCACCCCCTACCTCTTGGTAGGGGATCTCTCTATTCCTATTCTCCTCTCTCAGAGAAGGGAGGTTTCCATCTCTGAGAGGTGACATCATTTCCCCTCTTGATGTTTGCATCCCAGTTCTGATACCAAATAGAAGTCATCAAAAATGTCTTCAGTATTTTCTGTTTTGTTAGCAGGGTCTCACTGTAGCCTTGGCTGTCCTAGAACTCACTAGATAGACCAGGATGGCCTCAAAACCTGTAAGCAATCTTTCTGCTTGAGGTTATAGTCCTGAGTCGTCATGCCTGGCTTACATTTCTTTCTTTTGTTCTTGTTCTGTTTGAGACGGGGTCTTGCTATAGAGCCCAAGCTAGCTTTGACTTTTATATGTAGCCCAGACTAGACTTCAACTCTTTTTTTTTTTAATTTTACTTTCTATTTTAAAATTCATTTCAATGTGTGGGTGTTTTGCATGCACATGTACTACACGCATGCAGTGCCCACGGAAGCCAGCAGAGGGCACTGGATGCCCTGGGATTGGAGTTACAGGGGGTTTGAGACATTAGACATGAGTGCTGGGACTCTAGCTGAGGACCTCCAGAAGAGCAGCCAGTCCTCTTAACCATGATGCCATCTCTCTAGTCCCAGACCTTGCATTCTTGATACCTCTTTATGGAGGCTCTCAAGGTTGAAGACTAAGTCAGCCAAGCACTGAAGGAAGGTCACTCAAGCAGGAAGACCAAGAGCAACACACTGCTGCTGGGTTAGCAGGGGCAGAGAAGAGAGCCCCATGTCTGAGCAGTAGCGAAGGCCAGAAGTAAGGGCAAGCTGAGGCACACAGCACTGTGGCTCGCAGGGACCACCAAACTTTGTATTCGAGGATGTTACCCAGTCTCTCCAGGGGTTGGGGAAGGGATGAACAACATGCAGTCTGTGTGAGAAAACCTGTTTACTGTGCTCAACATGGATCGTAAGGAAAGGGTAGCCACCAAGGCACCAGAGAGGAGGCTACCCCAGTGGTCTTGCCAAGAAGTGATGGGCCAGCTCAACCTAAGCGATGGATGCAGATGGTATGCAGAGAGTCAAGAGATATTGGGGATCAAAGCTGACAGCTCTTGATCCATTTGCAGTGTGGGCTGGAAACCTATGATAGGATAGGTACCTCACCTCCAGACAGCTTGTGAATTTGATAGGTGTTGACGTCTCCTGATGAAGGCCCTGTCTTCAGCATCAGGACCTGCCTAGGATCGTGTCCTATGACCAGGAAACTCTAGAGAGGAGGGGCAAGGGCAAGAATCAGCATGACGCAGGTATATGCAGATGTTTCTTTTCTGTTTTCTTTTTTTTGGGGGGGAGGTTTTCAAAGCAGGGTTTCGCTGTAGCTATCAAGCCTGTCCTGGAACTAGCTCTTGTAGACCAGGTTGGCCTCGAACTCACAGGGATCCTCCTGCCTCTGCCTCCTGAGTGCTGGGATTAAAGGCGTGCGCCACCACAGCCCGCCCGGCTGCAGACGTTTCTTTTTTGTCTGCTTGGTTACGCGTCCCTTCAAGGCCATACTTCTCAGCCTTCCTCGTGCTGGGACCCTTTAGTATAGCTCCTCATGCTGTGACCCCAACCATTTTCATTGCTACTTCATAGCTGTAATTCTGCTACGATTATGAACTGTGATGTAAACATCTGATTTGCAGGATATCTGATGTGTGTCCTCCTGAAGGACCCATAGGTTGAGAACCACTGCTTGTTTCAGGGCAACCCTCTCTCTATTCCTAGTTCCTGAGGATGGGACCCTAGTGGGTGGGTCCAGGACTAGAACTAGCCAATAGGATGGCCACTGGTTGACGGATGGTCAAAGGCCTAAGCCTCACTAATAAACATCTATCACAGGATTTTTCCTGGAGAGCTTTGATTTTTGTTGTTTATTTGTTTGTGGACTTTTACCTCTCTCTCTCTATCTGACAGACATTTTTACCATTATAAGAGGGGTAGCTGTGGTCTGTCAAACCCTGCTAGATGTCCTCTTCAAATTTATCCTATATTCCCTGAAGATTTGTTTGTTTGTCTGTTTATATTTTGACAAGGTTTCATTGTTGCCCAGGCTGGCTTTGAACTCGCTAAATAGCCAAAACTGGCTTTGAACTCCTGATCCTCTTGCAACAGACTTCTTACTGATAAGATGACAGGCATGTACGACCACGCACACCCCTATGAAATGTCTTGTTCAAGGCGTCAGCACGCTGAGCTATGAGAAATAATGATTGACATCTGAGCTTGGAGGCAGGGGGTGGTGGGTTCAAGGATAATCTGGTTACATAGTGACAGAGAAGTCTCAGCGCTGGTGTGGCTACTCTAGAACTCCCAGGTGATCTTTTTTTTTTTTTTTAAGATTATAGAACAAGACAGGAGATTAAAATCAGTTGGTAGAGTGTCTGCCTTGAATGCACGAAATGTTGGGTCAAATCCCCAGCACTTCATATGCTGGGTGTGGTCACACACATGCACGCATGCACGCGCGAGCACACACACACACACACATACACACACACGCACATTATCTTAGTACTCGGGAATGGGAAGTGAAGAGGATCAGAAATTCAAGGTCGGCTAGTGCTGTATAGTGAGTTGGGCAACAGCCTGGGCTACATAAACCTTTGCCCGAAACAAATTCCTAAGTTTTGGGTCACCCACCTGATGCAAGTTTACACAGGTAAGGTCAGAAGTGATCCCCAGCAGTGAGTACTCACCCCCAGTGGCCACAGCTTCAGAAAAGCCTTGGCATGCTGAGCATCCAACTCTGGGACCTGCCACACCCTCTGTGTCCTCTGCAGTCGAAGAAGTGGCTCTGGGGTACTGAGGACCCCTAGTGGGCTCTTGCCAGGTCCATCTGTTAGTGGCCAAGCCAGCCTGGGATGTACAGGTTCCAGGAGGTCAAGGGTCATAGTAGAAGCTGGCCATTGGTGTGGGGTCCAAGAGGCAGGGATAGAGCTGGGAGTGGGGGTAGCCTCACCTGTGCCCCTCAGTAGGGGTTGCAGACACCATGTCCTCTGGCTGAGCAACCCTCATGCTGCCAGGCACCAGTGAGCCATGCTCTGACCTCTGGCATGGAGGAAGACAAGACTCAAGGCTGCTCCAGCTAGAGCAAGGGCAATATTTTAATTTTATTATATCTGCCTCAGATATCTGGCCTGATTAAAATGGACCTCCGATGTCCCCAACTATGCCAAGAGACATTCTTTTCCTGTTTGTTTGTTGTTTTGTTTTTCAAGACAGAATTTCTCTGTGTAACAGTCCTGGCTGTCCTAGAGCTAGCTCTGTAGACCAGGCTGGCCTCGAACTTACAGAGATCCGCCTGCCTCTGGCTCCCGAGTGCTGGGATTAGAGGCGTGCGCCACCATTGACTGGCCCAACCTTAATTTTTCTTTCTTTCTTTCTTTCTTTCTTTCTTTTTTTTTTTGAGACAGTTCCTTGTGTAGCCAGGCTTGTCTCATACCTGCTGTGTATTTTAGTAACTAAGAGGCTAGCCTATTACTCTTCTTTCTTTTAATTAGATTTTTTTTTCTTGATTTTTTGAGACAGGGTTTCTCTGTAGCTTTGGAGCCTGTCCTGGAACTAGCTCTTGTAAACCAGGCTGGTCTCGAATTTACAGAGATCCGCCTGCCTCTGCCTCCTGAGTGCTGGGATTAAAGGTGTGCGCCACCACTGCCCAGCTAATTAGAATTTTTTTTTTAAAAAAAAATAACAATCCAAATTCCTACTCCTTCCCTTCCTCCCATTCCCTCCACACACCCTCCCACCCCACCCCATCCAATCCTAAGAGAGGAAGGTCCAAGGCCCTCTTCACCACATCCATAGCCTCTTACTCTTGACCATCCCACCTCCACTTCCCATGTTCCGGATCACAGGCATGTGCCAACCTGCCCACACTATACCCTGACTTCTTCACAGAGAAGAGCTGTGATCCGGAACATGGGAAGTGGAGGTGGGATTATAAAGGGTTATATAGAACTTTATATAAAGAACTTTTTATAAAGAACCCTATAAAGGGTTCTCAGCTCAGTGTTAGCCCTTCTAGATATTTCCCCCACAGCAGTCTCAGGAGTGGGGAATGTGTCTTTCCATCATCTATCCATATGCCCCAACCCCCATCTTCCCATTTGAAATATTTAGCCAAGGCCAGCTTAGGTGACTGCTGGGAGGAGGGCTGAAAAGCGCCCTTTTCTGGAGGCTCCATTTGTCAGGGTGTTGTATGCAGGCCCGATAATCAGCAGCTATCTAAATCAATTAGCTGCTGACGGAGGCCCCAAGTGTCATGGGGGCAGGTGTCAGGCACACCTCAGGGATAAGCAAGGAAGGAGGGGGCGGGTGCTTCTCCCCTCCAGAACCCTTGGGAGGAGACCCAGACATGGGTGGTGCTGGAAGGGGTTGGATGGAGGCAGCTGTGGTACAAAAGCCAGATGCTGGGTCCCTAGGGGCCCTACCTGTTCCGAGGGGAGCCTGAGCAGCAGGAAGTGAAAGTGTTCTCTAGAGAGGAAGCCGGCATGCAGGGGAAGAGGCGGGGCTGGGGGCATCTGAAATCGCCTTCCTCTCCCTTTCCGGGGATCAGTCTTAAGTGCTCCCCTTTTGGAGTGGACCTCTGGCAGGCTAAGAGCCAGGGTGAAAGTTACCAGGCCGCCCTTTCCAGGGGCATCCTCTTGGCCCCTCCCACTATCACTCCTAAGATCCAGGAGCCAGAGATGGTCAGTTGGTGTCTTTAGGGTCCACCCCTCCCCCTCCCCCCAGCTGTCGCAGGTACCCACAAAAGAAGCAGAGGCCACACAGCTTGATTAGTTTGTTTTGGTTTTAGTTTGTTTCCAATAAGCAAGGTCCCCTGCCCATCCCCCACTGGCTGGCAAGTGGGTCGCTAGGAAAGGGGAGACAGCACCCACTTTGTCTGTGGGAGGCAGAGACCCCACAGGCCCCATCCTCTGGGTGAAGTCATATTTCACTAAAGAAGTCCAGCCCCTGTGTGGGGTAAGTTAATTTGATTTAGCCACAGGTCCCCTGAGAACAATAGAGAAATACCTTGTTCTGGCACAGTTAGGAGTTTGGGGGTAACCTGATCTCTGGGAGTAGTTAGAAGTTAGGGAAGGTTGCTTCTTGCCCTGGGGTGGGCGGGTTAGAGGCTGTGAGCTGTTAGAGAAGGGCTGTGCAGGCCTCAGCCTCAGGAATATTAGAATTTTCTGGGATTGAGTTGGGGACCCTGGTTTCAAGAAAGTGGTTAAGAGAATGAAGGATCTCCTGAGCCCCACACCAGCTGCACGTTAGAGGGACCGTGCTGGCTGGGACTCCACTGTCCTGTTTGGGAGGTAGTGGTCACTGGTGCTCCTCTTTCTCTTTGGTCCTGGCCACCTCCTTGGCTGGAGGTGGGGACTTTTTAGGGGAGGTGGTAGTGTTGGGGTTGGGGGCCTGGGACCCTGACTGGGCATCTATGCTGGCATGCTCCTTCCGGACAAGGTCTTCCAGCTCCTTCTGCAGGGGCAAAGGTCAGAGAAGTCAAAGGTTACCATAATATATCCTCATGGGGCTGGGCTCAGGATGGGTTGGGTGGCCTAGCTCCTCACCTTCCATCCAAGGAGGTCGGCAAGGGCCAGGCAGCCTTGGTCACAGTCACCTAGCCAGGCTACATCCCTGCAGTGTGAGCAGGAGTTAGAGAGTGGGCTGAGGCCTGGCTGGCCTCTGTCTTCCTTCCCAAGCTGTTTCTGCCCCCTCCCCCCATGCCCAGGCCTCACCTGTAAGCCTTCTTGGAGTCAAAGTCCATGCCACCTCCTAAGCCCATCATCATGCCCAGGAAGGGATCTGTCTGTGGGGACAGGACAGATAAGAGCGTGTCTGTGGGGACAGGACAGCTCCCAGAGCCACCAGACCTGGCTTACATTTATTATCCACTCAAGGTTTCTCTGGGTAGCCCTGGCTGTCCTAAAACTCACTCTGTAGACCAGCCTGGTCTTGAACTCAGAGATCCACCTGCCTCCACCTTCTGAGTGCTGGGATTAAAGACATGCACCACCACCCCTGGCTTGTTTTTATTTCTGAAGTGTATGTAGTATGCATGCGTGTCTCTATATGTGTGCCCTTTGTGTAGGGTGCTCAGAGGACAGAAGAGGTGTCAGATCCCAGGAACTGGGGCTTAAGGTAGTCAGGAGCTACCTAACACAGGTACTGGGAACTGTACCTAGGTTTCCGGATGAGCAGAATGTGTTCTCAACCACTGAGCAAGCTCTCCTGTTCAAAACCATTATTTTTTTCTGTCACTGCTGAAGCTTGAATCCATGGCTCTGTGTATGCCAGGCAAACACTCTGCCACTGAACTATTTCCCCAGCCCAAACATATTATTTTTGAGACAAGGTTTCTCAATAGGCCTGGAATAGCAATTGGTGAGACTGGCTGTCTAGTGAGCCCAGGGACCACCAATCTTTGCCTCTCCAGTGTGGATCGCAAACACAGGCCACCATCCTTCTTGTGTCACTTCAGGTGTTCTTCTGTGCCCTTTGTTTCCTGTCCACTCAGATTTGTCACAGATGTTTAATCAGTATCTGATTTGGAAGGTGTTATCATTTTATTTGAGCTTTTTCCCCCAGAGCCTTCCATCCACCAGAGATGTCCCCTCTTTTTGTATTGTCAGCGGTTGCTGGTAGTGAGTACCTAGACACAGGAGTTCCCTAGGGATGGGACTTGGTGATGTTTACATTTCTAGACCTTTGCTAGGCAGTGGTGGCGAAAGCCTTTAATCCCAGCATGAGGCAGAGACAGGTGGATCTCTGAGTACAAGGCTAGCCTGGTCTACAGAGAAACCCTGTCCTGAAACAAAACAAAACAAAACGACAACAAAAAGCTCCTCCAAAACAACACAGCCAGGTGTGGGGCACAAGCCTGTAATTCCAGAACTTGGAAGGCAGAGGCAGGAAGAGCAGGAGTTCAAGACCATCTGTAACCACCGGGTGAGTTTGAGAGGCCAGGGCTACACGGGAGCCTGTCTCATAACTATCTCCAGAGCTCACACAGCATCAAGCCACATGTCGGGGAGACACAGCATAGGATGTGTGTGCTCCAAATAAACAGTCAGCCACTGCCTACAAGGGGCTTATCCCCCGACTCTGATATGTAAGAAGGTACTAGAATAGTAATGCCTGAACTCTGTGACCCATGGAGAGACTATGCCCCTGGTGGCTGTGTCAGAGGCTGGCCACACCCCTTCCTATGCATCTTCTCTCTTGCTCAGGACTAAGGCCTCCCCTGTAGAGGTGAGTCAGGCCTGGGCAGTCTCAGTTGGCAGTCAGCTGTGCACTGATTGGTCTCTTGGATCCCAGGAAGCACTCGGGCTTCAGTGGCTTCAAGGTATGGTTCCGTCATTGGCTCAAAGGAATTCATAGTGGTGCAGAGGCTTGCAGCATCCAGCTGGCCCAGCACCCCATTCCCATATTCTCCAGCCTGAGCTGGCAAGTCTAAAGCACTGGCGCTCTCCAGGTAGGATACAGAGACAGCTCTCATCCTCCTGAGGAAGAAGGCGAAACAGCCCCCAGTGCAGAGGGAGAGCGGGAAGTTGAGGCAGACTCACCTGGCCGGTCTTTTCCTTGTTGATGAGCAGGCGTGGGGTAGATAGTGGTGCCCTGGGAATGGGGAGCTGGGATTCAAGATCTGCCCTGGTGCCCTGTTCCCAGCTGACCCCAGACCTACGCCCTCAACCTACTTGCTGATGAGGGAAGCGAAGGGCTGCACCTGCAGGGAGGTGCCCATGATGATGAGGAGGTCCACCTTGGAGAAGTCCTGCAGGGAACAGCCAGGAAGGACTTGGACCCCACTGCTTGGGCTTTGTGTTCCGCCTCCACTCCAGCCCAGCAGGCAGCCCAAGTGGGCCATGCCCAGGGTGGACACTTACTGACTGCATGCAGGAGAAGAAGCGCGGCGGAAGATTCTCACCAAAAAACACGATGTCTGGGGTAGACAGACAAAGAAACACAGAGACAGGAGAGGAGGATGGGAGACAGAGCTAGAAAGGCAGGAGTCAGGGGCAGACTGGGGCCTGAGGCGGCACAGATACCCACCCTCTGCAGGACAGTAGGGGATGGGCCACAAGGCAGAGGTGACCAGAGGTGAAGTGTGGGGAACAGTGGGGGAGAGGGGCCCAGCTCCAGTCCCCCCAGGCCCTGAGGCTCACCAGGCTTTACCACGCTCTGACATTTCTCGCACGTGGGGATTGATTCTGAGAAGATCTTCTCTGGGTGGGAAAGAAGGAGGGAGAGGGAGGTATGAGACCTTCCAGGACTGGAGCAGCCCTCTTCTGTCCTTCCCTACTGTCAACAGAAATGCATCCCGGGCGACAGTGGTGCATGCCACTAAGCCTGCTTTTGGGAGAATTCAGGAGGGAGGGGCTGTGAGTTCGTGGCCAGCCTTGGCTACACCATGTCTCAAAAACCCAGAGCTGGGGCAGGGAAGTAGCTCACTGTATGAAGGCATTTGCTGCCAAGCCTGATGACTCACATGCTAAAAGGAGAGGAACAACTTCTGCAGATTGTCCTGTGACATCCACAGGCATGCTGTGCATGTATAGACCACATCCATATGCGCATGCAAACACACAAATAAATGCGAAAATATTTAACAACAGCAACAAACCCAAGAGCTAAGGATGTTGCTCAATGGGGGAACATTATGGGACTTGGGACATGATTTATCAGTAGAGCCCCTGCCTAGAATCCCCCAGTGAGGGGCTGGGGCATGGCTCAGTGGTAGAGCCCTTGACCTTGCATGCCTAAGTCCCAGCACCACAAAACAAACAGTGCCCCCCACCACTAAGGGATCTCTTGGGGTATCCTTCCGGCTTATCAAAGAAGTGTTCCCTTTTTAGAGAGCTGTCACCTTCATCTCCAGGCATCCAGGGGGTGGCCCCAAGCACCACTGCCTACAGCTAGTGAATGAGCCAGCAACACTGGAGCAAACCCACATGCTCCTGACAGGCACCCTGGACTCCACCAGACCCCCATCTGGGGAATGGGAGTCAAGCCCTTCCTATGGGTCTTGGGGCAGTCCTATTTGCCCCTGGGTCAGGAAAGGACATTCAGATAATTTTGGGATGGAGCCAACCTCAAGCTCATCTGCCTGGGGGCGGGGGGCGTGGACTCTATGACAGCCTTCTCCAGTCCTGCCCTTAGGACAGCAGGGAGCTCAAAAGCATGTCTGTCATTTGCAGCCCGCAGAACTGGCCTCAGCTGCTCAGCCCCTCATCTCTTGGCTCACAGAGCTCGACTCTAGCCGCCACCACTCAGGGTGTTGCTGTACAAACAACATGCTGTTCTGCAGGTGGCAGACGCCATTCCACAGGGACATACGGGGGCGATGCCCATTGTCCGCCACCCCAGCTGTGCACACTTGGGCTGCTCAGGAGCCCTCAGTCTGGGGGCAGCTGGCTGGCATTCTGTCAGAAAGGCGTCACCTTCCAGGGTCCTGCCACAAAAGCCACAGCTGTCCTGATCTTGAGGGGACACCAGGAGCTTTGTGAAGTCAGCATAAAGAACATAGCTTCGCAGAGTGACACAGCAGCTTCAGACTCAGCACAATGGCTGCCAGAAACAGGCTGGGGCTGGCACTGAGGGCATGGGACTGGCTCTTTCTCTTGGATGCTCTGTCCTTACGTAAGCGGGACAGTGGCAGTAGTGACAGTAGTGAGCCCTGTCACGTGTGCTTCTAGCACCATCTCTACACATTTCCCTGTCTACTGTGGAAGTCTGAGCTACACGGAACTTACAAAATTTACTACTATTTTTTGTCATGTAGCCCAGCCCGGCCTGGAACTTGCTATGTAGCCAAGGCTAGCCCCGAACTCCTGATTCTCCTACCTCTATCTCACAATCAATAAACACAAAAATCTTATAAAACTAGAGACCCTGTCTCAAAAATAAATTTAAAATGTTCTGGGCCAGCAAGTTAGTTCAGAAGGTAGGGCCAGCTGGGCAGTGGTGGTGCACACCTTTAATCCCAGCGCTTGGGAGGTAGAAGCAGGCAGATCTCTGTGAGTTCAAGGCCAGCCTGGTCTACAAGAGCTAGTTCCAGGACAGGCTCCAAAGCTACAGAGAAACCCTGTCTCGAAAAACCACTCCCCCCCCCCCAAAAAAAAAAGGCAAGGCCATCTTCAAATCTAACAGGTCAAGCTCACTCCCTGGGCCCTGTCTGGTGTTAAAAGAGAATGAATGGAGCAGTGGCCCCATAATGGCTACAGACACAGGTCTCCCTCATTTCAGCGCTGTCTTTAGGATGACGCTGTGTTTGCCTTGATGTAAGGACTTGAGTGTAAAATGGCGAAACACTTGCAGGTCACAGAGCTAAATGCTCATGACTTCAGTGACTGTGACACGGTGGCTGTGAGCCGACACTGGGTCTCTGTGCAGCTGGCCGTGCGCCGTAGTTCATATGTACCACAGCCCGGCAGAAGGGGTGGCAAGGGAGCAGAGACTGGCCGCCACCTAGAATCTATAAAGAGCAGGAGAGCTGAGTGCCTGCAGTCTCGGCACTGGGGAGACTGAGGCAGAAGCGAAAGCTCAAGGCCAGCCTGGGCTACACAGACAAATCTAGTCTCAAAAGACGCCAAGCAACTCACTAACTAGCAAGGGCTAAGAAGCTCAAGAGGACCACACTGGTGCCAAAGCCCATGGAAACCTGGCTACAGCACGGGCAAGGAGTGGGAGGCATGGCCTTGTCCGTGCTGTCCAGGGCCTCACCTTTCATCCAGCTCAGCGAGTACTCTTGTCGGCAGGAGGAGCTGACGCAGTGTGAGGTGTAGAAGGTGCCGTGGGCCTCCACCAGGTCCTGGGGCTCCAACCCCGCCACTCGTTCCAGCGTGTCTATGTTCTGGATGGGGAGACAGGGGAAGGTCAGGAAGACAGCCTGCCCTTGTGGGCTCTGAGAGGAGGGATGGCGAGGGTATGTACAAAGTTCACACTCTTCCAGTGGGGCTACCAAAGGGTTAACAGTCAGGGCTGCTTAAAGTCTGCCCAGGCTCAAATTTCAATAAGGCCAGACCCAATGATCATCAGCCCCATCTGACCTTCTGTAAACTCAGGCCACTTCTCCCACTCTTCAGAGAAGTTCTTGTGTTAGACAGCCACGCTTCCCACCATTTGTCACAAGTTATTAAAGCAACTACACCTATGCAGGCCCCAACCTGCGTACGCAACAGCTCTGGCTAAGCACTGGTATAATAAATGAATCTACTCAGGAATCAAGGTGGCTGCTTGCATCCCTGCACTTGGAGCCTGAGGCAGGAGGACTGCTGGAAGCAAAGGTCAGCCTGGGCTACACAGCTAGTGTCAGGCCAGTCAGGGCTACAAGGGAAGACCCCACCTCAAAAACTGGTAGTGCACGTCTTTAATCCCAGTGCTCAGGAGGTAGAGGTAGGCAATCTCAGTGAATAGGAGGCCAGCCAGGTCTACAGAATGAGTTCCAGGACAGCCAGAGCTACACAGTGCCTACAACCCTGTCTTGAAACACAAACAAATAAAAAAACTGAAATAAATAATAAATAAGACCAGGCATGGTGGATCATGCCTATAATTCCAGATTGCTACAAGTCTGAGGCTAGTGTAAACAGCACAGTGAGTTCCAGGCCAGCCCAGGTGACAGTGTGAGATCATCTCCAAACACCACAACGAGGGGCTGACAAGAGGGCTCAGCAGGTAATGGTATTTGCCACCAACCTGATTTTGACCCCCCGGAAAACCACGTGATAGTAGGAACAATGCCCCCAAGTTGTCCTCTAAACTCTACACATGCACTAAATAAATGTCATCCGATTTTTTCACGTTAATAAATAAAATGAAAGAATGGCTTATTTGTTTCTTTGCGGGGAGTCATGTCTTTTTGAGACATCCCCAACCTTGAGAACCTCCCACTAAAGTGCTGACCGCCACACCTGGAAGTCACACTTCCTGCATCAGCTTTGCAGCCGACTCAGTCTACCAAGTCCCTCACTGGAGTGTAGCGACCCACAAGCAAATGACTCACTAAGGGCCCATAGAACTACCACAGGCCCTGTATCCATGGGAAACCCGGCTCAGGACCGTAGGGGATGTTTGGATCTCAGATCCGGTTGGATCCTACCCGTACAATGGGGCTATGTCCTGATGACCCCGCGAGAGGGAAGTGCCTCTGACATAGGTACCCTGCAGCACATCACAGCTAAGTGCCCCGGGATGATGACATGGAGGACTGCTGCCTCTCCTCAGTACCAGAGTAAAGCTGGCCTGGTGCACTGGTTGTAATCTGGACTGCAAACGATGGGAGGCAGAAAGATGACAGGTTTAAGGCCTGCCTGGCTCATGGCTCAGCAGGAAAGCATTTGCCTAGACTCTAGCAAGGGGGCGGGGCTGAGGATGTGGCTCAGTGGTAGAGCAATACCCCTGCACTCAGGAAGCCCTGGGGCTCACCTATCCCAGCACACCCCACCCCCCAGACCCATGGGCTGGGGGGAGGGGAGGAGAAAAAGATCAATCCTCAGCTATTAGAAAGCACGGTACTGCTGTGTAATGTGGGCATGGAAGGGTCCCAGACAAGTGGCTGGGTGGAAAAAGCAGCATGCAGGGAACCTTCTATATTGTGAATTTCACATATACAGTTGGAAGACCTGCAGCCGTTCTTCTGTGGGACCACAGCGGCTCGGGCGATCCTAACTGCTAATGTGTGATGGGCTCCTGTGTCCTGAGCTGAGAACAGCACCACACAACTTCAGAGCTGCTGGGTCGGCACAATCACAAGGGAGGTTTGCTGTGTTCCAGAAAGCGGGCCAGTGACTCAAACAGTGACTGAGGAGAAGAGGGCAAAGAGCCCGAGGAAGGAAACGGTCACGAAGTGGGCAAGTGAGACATTTTTTCCACCTTTAGACATTTTACGTAATAAGTCACTCAAAAATGTGTGGGGGCGGGGGCTTGAGTGCAGCAGTTAAGAGTGTTGGATGATCTCCCAGAAGACCTAGGTTTGGTTCCCAGTGCCCACATAGCAGCTCACACCACCTCTTAACGCCCTCTCCTGGCCACTATGGGCACTGCATGCACTGGTATGCAGACATATATGCAGGCAAAACACACATAAAATAAATATACAAAATATAAATATAAAAAAATAAATTGTCCTGGGACCTCCAAACTTTTGATGTGGCATGCCTGCACATGTGTGGGCAAACTTGCAAACACGCACACACCAATTAAATTAATTAAAATTTACAGAATACTGGGGGTAGTTGTCAGCTATCTGAACATTTCGCACTGAACAGGTTTCTGCTGGCTTTCTGATGATATCTGAAAGTGCCAGCAGCCAGGGCACTTGGCAGCCCTCACTCCCAGCTAGCTTTGTCTGGGTGTCATGTTCTCACTCCGTCATCTGAATCAATACGCACAGACTTCTCCAGCAGCCTTTCCGCTCAGCCCCGGCTCCATGTCCAGCTGCCCTCACTCTCTATGGAGCTATCTCCCAGGGCCTCGAGGCAGAATGCCATCTCCTCAACACCTTCCCATCCATGCTTCATCTTCCAAAGAGATGCCTGACCTTCCTGTTGTTCTTCCTCAGTGGCCCTCATCAGAGGTCCGTATTCCAGCCACTTTGGCTGGACAAACATGGCAGCTTCCTGCCTGCTCTCGGAGGCTCCCTTGCTCCTGTCCCCACACACACTCATAGTGAGCCTCTGCCTGAAGCTTCCTTCCCTCCCAGGTCTCAGGTCTTTGCTTCAGCGTCAACCCTCTTGGTGAGGCTTCCATGCCTACCCTATGTGTGCCAGCACCCACTCCCACAGCTCCAACTGGCCTCGGCCTGGGACCCTCTGACATGCTAGGTGTGTCTGTGACACATCCCTCCTGTCCTGTCACACATGAGACCCTCAGCACCAGGACTGCAGGGGTGTCTGCTCTGCTTGCTCTGGCAGTGCCACTCCTGGGTGGACATCTACTGTCATGGAAGTTAGCAAACAAAGGTGCCAGAGACACAAAGAACCACACGCAGCCTTCGTCCTGAGCCTTGCTCTGTGAATGAGACTGATTCTGAGTTAGGAATGTCCTGAGCATGGGCAGCCCCTGAAGGACTGAGCTGTCCCTTCCCCAACTAGGACCTCCAGGCACCTGCCCTCCATTCATCCTCCCCCTGGTGACCATTTCTGACACTGCAGGTGCCTCATAGGATTGACAGAGGAAAACAATACCTATTAGTATTCAAGTGTTAACTCTGTACAATCTGGAGTTCTGCTTTTCCTTTTTATTTTTTATTTTGTGTGTGGGGGTGTGTGTGCAGGGCTTGGCTAACGAGCAAGGCTGACTTTGAATTCACTATGTAGCCCAGGTTGGACTTGAACTCACGGTGCTCCTTCTTCAGCCTCCCAATGCTGGGACTACAGGCTTTCCCGTGCTTGGCCAGCTTGTGTTCTGAGGTGTAATTTATAGCGCGCGTGGACACTGCCGCAGAGCAGTCTGAACTGGAGCACACTGACGAGTGAGGGAGAGGCCCAAACTCTTCTGTCTGGCTACTCATCTAGACGTCAGCCACTGGAACACGCTTCTGAACACTCCAGTGTGGCCATGATATCCTGTTAGCCACTGTAGCCAAGGCCAGGCTTGCACAGTCATAAAAAGCAAACCTCCTTTATGATACAGTGTCACCTTTAGGAAACTGTCCCAGTGTCCTGACTGGGGATGGCTGTGGTACACATGGTGTCCCTCAGACAAGAGTCCTTCTGCAGTGTTGTGGGATGATCTGATGGGAGTTCACTGTCAACTCACAATAGACTGGAGAGGGCCCGAAGTTGCTTAGGATCTTTTTATTATCAAAAATTCTCATGTGCATTTAGTTTATATTTTAATAAAGTAATTGACTATCCAATGATTTTAAAGACAAGATTTCACAGCCTGAAGTCTGGCAGCAAACTCACTTTGTAGCCAAGGATGACTGTGGATTTCTGCCCCTTCTGCCTTCACTCCTTTATGTAACCACTTACCAAATTTCTGGTCCCTATTTTCTAAAGGGGAAACTGAGGTTAAGAGGAAGAGGCTCACTGCAGGTCACTCACTAAAACTAGCTAAGCCCTGGTCACTTGCCTTGTGCCTGCCTGTGCCACCCCCAGTTCTGACAGAGGGTTCCAAACCCATCCAGCCTACTGCCCACCAGCCATGGCCAGCCCTGCCCCCGCCCGCCACCTACCTGCGTGTAGCAGCGCTGCAGCAGCCCCTTCTCCTTCAGCAGGCGGATGAAGTAGTGGCAGATGGTCGGCTGAGGAGAGTAACAGTGTGATGGAAATACCCACGGGCTGTCACATGCCCACCCTACGCCAAGGCCCAGTGAGGATGAGCACAGCATTCTCCCATACCACAGACGAGGAGACCCATTCGAGGGTGTGGTGCTGGCTCGCGGCCTTCACCAGCCAGTTAATTGCACAGTGAGGTTCCCACCAGGCCTGGGCTGCAGCTCTTTCTGAGGATCCCAACAGCTTTCTTATACTTGGGAAAACTGAGGCTCAGAGCCACACGAGGTAACGAGGTGAGGGCGAGGAGGGCGGCCAGGCTGGTCAGGCCTGCAACCCATTCCTCCTCCTTTCTTCTACTTTCTTAAAGTTGTTTAGTATTTATTTGGAATTTTGGGTTTTGTTTGGTTTTCAAGGTTTTGTTTTTTGGTTTTTTTTTTTTTTTTTTTTTTTGATTTTTCGAGACAGGGTTTCTCCGTAGCTTTTGGTTCCTGTCCTGGAACTAGCTCTTGTAGACCAGGCTGGCCTCGAACTCACAGAGATCCGCCTGCCTCTGCCTCCCGAGTGCTGGGATTAAAGGCGTGCGCCACCACCGCCCGGCTGTTTTTTGTTTTTTTGTATAGGCTTGGCTGTCCCAGAACTTGCTCTGTAGACCAGGCTGGCCTCGAACTCACAAAGATCTGTCTGCCTCTGCCTCCCGAGTGCTGGGACTAAAGACGGGTACTACCACTGCTTGGCTGCAGGGATTTTTTTTTAATGATTTATTTACTTTATGTGCATTGATTGGTGTTTTGCCTGCATGTGTGTCTGTGTGAAGGTGTTGATCTTTTGGAACTGGAGTTACAGACAGTATGTGGTTGCTGGGAATTGAACCCGGGTCCTCTGGAAGAGTAGCCAATCTGATCTGCTGAGCTACTGCTGCAGCCCACCAAGTGCTTAGACTAGGGTGTGCACCACCACACCAGGCCTTCCTTTCTTTTAAAAAATATTTTATTGTTTTTAATTATGTGTATGTATATGGGTCTGCGTGGGCAAATGCATGTGACTTCCAGGGCCCACTGAGGCCAGAGGTGTCAGAGCCCCGGGGAGCTGGGGGTCCAGGCGACTGTGAGCGCCTGACATGGGTGCTGGGAATTGAAGTCTGCTTCTCTACAAGAGCACTATGTGCTCTTACACGTAGCTTGCCACTGCTGGGGAGATGATTTTCAGGTGTGTGGCTTTCATTTATGTTGCATTTGTTTAACCCTGTGAAGCTGTGCTGCTGTGCCTGTCTAAAACACCTGATGGTCCTAACAAAGAGATGAACGGCCAATAGCGAGACAGGAGCAAGGATAGGCGGGGCTGACAGGCAGAGAGGATAAATAAAAGGAGAACGGAGGAAGAAGAGAAGTGAGAGAACAAGGAGAGGACATCAGGGTCAGCCACCCAGTCAGTCCCGGAGTAAAGAAGGAAAGCAAGGTATATAGAAATAGGCAAAGATAAAAGCCCAGAGGCAAAAGGTAGTTGGGATAATTTAAGAAAAGCCTGCATGAAACAAGCCAAGCTAAGGTTGGGCAGTCATAATAAGCCTCTGTATATGATTTATTTGAGAGCTGAATGGCGAGCCCCTCAAAAAGTCAGAAGAGTAAAACATCACACAACATTGTGGCGTTCCAATGTAAGGCTCTATATCCATCTCGAGCCTGAGAAAGCTGGGGAGGGGGTACAGTCCACAGCCCCTTCAAAACAGGCGCTGTTGTTCAGTTGGCAGCGCTAAACAGAAACTAGAAACAGCAAGTAAAAACCGCTTGTGGCAATGCATGTTCGACTTCCACAGCTAGAAATGTTTAATACAGTTCTCAGGCATGAACCTCCAACAGGCTGCAAACTCTGGCTTAGCTTTCACTACCTGACCCGAGCAAAGCCAGCTGCCAGAGCACCGGAGGATCCAGGTATAGCTTAGCAGTCTACAGTTTGCTTGTGTGGTCAAAAAAAGGCTAAAAGATATGCAGTAAAAAAGATCCAAATGGAAAAAATCTCTAAACAGGTTCCAGTGTGTTTTATAATGTGTGTAGGCTTAAGAAAGAAAATGGGCATAGGCAGTCATAGAAAAAAAATACATTAAAAATAATAGTCTTTTAAAGAGACATTAAAAATAATAGTCTTTTAAAGAGACAGTAAAAGTAATATGAAAGAAAAAAGTTATGTAAAATTGGGAAACACAGGGAATCTGGATCCTGTATAGTATTGTGTTGATTTTGAATTTTTTGTTTGCGGAAAAACAAAGAACTGTTGCTAAGAGACCTGGAATTGAAAAAAAGGGACTGTTGAAATAAAGCAGCCTAGATATTTTAAGAAAGCCCTAACTTTAAAAAAAAGTCAAAAAATGTATTTGTCAAATGGAAATCAAAAATGCTTTGGAGAAGTGGTTTTGTTTTTGTTTCCACAGGAAACAAGAGGCTGTGGGTTTGTTCCAGGTTGAGTTGGATCTGGTTTGATCAGGGGAGACTGCCTGAGATTGACAGGTGATATCTATCAACAAAGGTTATCACTGACCTTCCCAGGACTTGGCCATTATCTCAAATTTTCTCTCTGGGATCCTAAAGATGCCTTCACCCACATTTAGCAGGAAGCAGTCTACAGAAAACAATGTCCACATTCCCAAGAATGGGTGTGGGTGGGTCTTTGGTTATTTGGTGGTCGTGAACGTTTGTTATAATTTAGAGGAATATAGGATAAAAAGACAACTATTAATCTCGGATATTTTGGATTAGCATGGATTTTGGTATATGGGTACAACTTAAAAGCCAATTTTGTTACACTGTATATGTGTTTTACTCTTGTTTAAAGGACTTTTGTGTCCTGACACAAATTTAAGGTCATTTTTGTTACAACACTGTATATATGTTTCTACTCTTGTTTAAAGGATTTTGTCTATTGATATTTTGTATATTAACACCAATTTAAGGTTATTTTTGTTACAACATATTTTATATGTTTTACTCTTTTTTAAGGTATTGTACCTATCCAGTTCATTTTAAAATGTAAGATAAAACTCTAGTTTTCGAAAGCTATTATTATGAACTGTATAGGACAATAAATAAACACAGACCAGGAGTTAGTCATCTATAATAATCAAATTTGTAGATAGTCTAGGTATGTTTGACAGATTATATGGAGATATATTTTATTTTTTTTATTTTTTTTTTGAAGAATACAACTTTATTTCATGCACATTGGTATGACAATGTCAGATTCTCTTGAACTGGAGCTACAGACAGCTGTGAGCTGCCATGTGGGTGCTGGGAATTGAACCCGGGTCCTCTGGAGGAGCAGTCAGTGCTCTTAACCACTGAGCCATCTCACCAGCCCCCTGGAGATATATTTTAGATAGATGGTCTTCAAACCATTCAAAGAGCCACAAAATATGGCATTTAAAAATGTTTTGTTAATTTAGTGATTTTTTTTTGTTTGTTTTTTTTCGAGACAGGGTTTCGAAGGACTAGCTCTTGTAGACCAGGCTGGCCTAGAACTCACAGAGATAATTTAGTGATTTTTATGACAATGAGACACATTTGCTCCTGCAGCACCATTTACTTCAGAGATGATGGGCACTGAAGAAACTCCTTCCGGAGTTTGCTTTCAATGTGGCAAGGTTAGCCACTGAGCAAAGAAACTGTTCTTGCCTGGACTGTTTGACGAGATGTTGTATAAACTGGACATGCAGGACCCACAGGAGAGTGACCACTGAACTTTGCCCAAACAAGGCTGGACGGGTCCTTCAGGGTTCCTGCTTCACAGAAGAAACTTCCAGACATTCTGCAGGACACAGGAAAGTGACCGACAAATTGCCAATACAGGCAGAACAGTCATTCAAGTTTCCTGCTTCAGACACTATGGGCCTGCAAGCTGAAGATGGATGCCCCAGTGTTGCAAAGGAACTGTCTGGCAGTCAGATGTGTCTGTCATTTATACAATTTTCGGAAGTTGTTCGCAATGCACTTTTTGTTTATTCAAAATAATATTATCCTCTGGGGTCTTTGATGGAGTTGAAGACCAGATAGTTATAGTTGAAGTTTTCCTTAGTTATAATAGAGTAAATTAGTTATTAAACTATAGATTCAATAAAATAGGATCAATAATGGGGTATTTGCTTTTAATTTGCCAGATTATAAATGAACTGGAATCCATTATATTGTGAATGTAATCTTTACTTGATAATTGTTCGTATTGTACACAGTCTTACCATGTTAAACTTTTTCATTTTTGTCTAGAAAAAAAAAGGAACTGTTGGGGATACTATTTTCAAGTGTATGACTTTTGTTTACGCTGCATTTGTTTAACCCTGTGAAGCTGTGCTGCTGTGCCTGTCTAAAACACCCGATGGTCCTAATAAAGAGATGAACGGCCAATAGCAAGACAGGAGCAAGGATAGGCGGGGCTGGCCAGAGTATAAATAGAAGGAGAAATGAGGAAGAAGAGAACAGGAGAGGAGAACATCAGGGCCAGCCACCCAGTCAGCCACGGAGTAAGAAGGAATGAAAGATAAAAGATGGAGAAAGATAAAAGCCCAGAGGCAAAAGGTAGTCGGGATAATTTAAGAAAGACTAGCAAGAAACAAGTCAAGATAAAGCTGGGCATTCATGGGCTGGAGAGATGGCTCAGTGGTTAAGAGCATTGCCTGCTCTTCCAAAGGTCCTGAGTTCAATTCCCAGCAACCACATGGTAGCTCACAACCATCTGTAATGAGGTCTGGTGCCCTCTTCTGGCCGGCAGACATACACACAGACAGAATATTGTATGCATAATAAATAAAAAAAAAAAGCTGGGCATTCATAACTAAGAATCAGTCTCTGTGTGTGGTTTATTTGGGAGCTAGGTGGCAAGCCCCCAAAAAGCCAAAAGAGTAAAACATCACACAACCCTCCACCTCTTCCAATCCTTTTTTTTTTTTTTTTTAACTTTTGAGACAAGGTTATGTAGTCTAGGCTGACCTTGCATTTGAAAGTTTCCTGTCTGCCCCCCAGATGCTACAATTATGGGCATATCTACCAACTCCCCACCGTAAACAGTATTTCTTATTTACACACTTATATGGGGTGTGCACTTGCCATGGCGCAAACGTGGGAGTCAGTACTCCCCTTCAATCACGTGGTCCCAGGGACTGAACTCATCTGTCATCAGGCCTGGCGGCAAGTGCCTTTATCCACTGAACCACTGTGCCAGTCCCAGAGCCTGGGTTCTCAACAATCATATAATGCTTGTTTGAGGGGCCTATAAGGAGCCTCTTTCCCTTGTCTGCTCATCCCAATCTCCCCGGGCAAAAAAAGACCTCACCTTGAACTGCCCGGGATAGAGCTCCTTGGCAAGGGCAAAGAAAGGTTCTGGATGTTTCTGTAGGAGAGAGAAGCAGAGGGCCACAGGACAGGTAAGATAAGGCCTGGAGCTGGGAACTCCCTCCCCATATCTCAGGAGACTACCTTGAAGTAACTGATCTCAAAGATGGCTTCCGGGTAAGGAAGATGGTACTTCTCCAGGTTCGCATAGAGGCCAGTGGTTGGGGAGCGGAAGTCAGGGATACCCGCAGCTATGGAGGAGCGTTCAGTCAGAGGTTCTAGCCCCATGCATGCAGGAATCCTTCCAGGGCCCCCACACCTCTAGGAGTGGCTGGAAGGAGGGAACACTTACACGTGGAGATTCCGGCTCCCACCAAACAGATGACCCTGCGACCTGGAGGAGAGAGTTTATATCATGTGATAAGGTTTCTCCTCCCACCCGTATTGCTGGTGGGGAGGATGGTATTGGCAACCCCATATTACAGGTGAGGAAACCCAGCTAACCAGAAGGGACAGCAGAGGGAGTGGACAGCAGCGGGTGAGGTCTTGGGGAGAAGGCTGCAGGGCCAGCTCGGGGGCACAAAGCTGGCTAGTTTGAAGGCTGGAGTCACATCCCTACAACCTTGAAAATCAACCCAAACCAAATTCGGGTAACAGCTTACTTTCTGGATACAATATTGTATGACTTTAAAAACTTATTTTTAATTAGTTTTCTTTTTTGAGACAAAGTCTCATTATGTCGTTCTGACTGGCCTAGTACTGGCTATGTAGACCAGACTGGCCTTGAACTTACAGAGATTTGCCTGCCTCTGCCTCCCAAGTGCTGAAATTAAAACTGTGCCATCACTGCTGGTTTTAAGTCTCTTTCTTTCTTTCTTTCTTTCTTTCTTTCTTTCTTTCTTTCTTTTTCTTTCTTTCTTCCTTCCTCTTTCTTTCTTCTCTTTCTTTTCCTTTCTTTCTTTCTTTCTTTCTTTCTTTCTTTCTTTCTTTCTTTCTTTAATCTGAGGCAGGCAGATCTCTGTAAGAGATCCTGGTTTACACAGTGAGTTCCAGCTAGTTGGTGCAAAGAAGTGAGATCCTTCTCAAAAATAAGACAAACAACAGAAAGATGAGGCTGGGTAGAAGGCTCAGAGGTTAGGAGCACTTGCTGTCTGTCTAGAGGGCCTGAGTTCAGTGTCCAGCACCCATGTCTGCGCACAGCCACCTGCTACCTCCAGTGCCATGTGGTCCAATGCCTCTGGCTGCTGAGGATACCTCTATATCTCTTCGGAGTTGAAGCTATGGTGTGCACCAGCGTGCCTGCTGTCATTTCCCTTGGTTTTGAGACAGTGTTTCCCTATGCAGTCCAGGATAGCCCGGAATCCTGAGCCTCCAGGTGCTGGGGTGACAAGTTTCAATTTCAGACGACCCGTTTCCAGAGTGTTATACACAGCCCCTCACCGTGCTGCTCTATCCACACAGAAGCCGCCCGTCAGCCTGCTCCTTTGAGTCCACTACACTCACTAACCTTTTATTTTCTTTAGGACAGAATCTCCTGTATCTCAGCTTTCAATTCTCTAAGCAGCCAAGGGTGACCTTGAAGTTCTGATTCTGATTCTAAGTGCTGGGTCACGGGCGTGCACCACCATGGCCAGCTTTTCTTTGCTTTCTTTGAGACAGGGTCTCACTGTGAGCCTGGCTGTCCTTGAACGCACAGGGACCTACATGCCTCTGCGTCCTGAGCACTGGCATGAAAGCTGTCTGCCACCAAGTCTGCCCACGCCCAGCATTTGAACTCGGGGCTCTGCGCATGCTCAAGGAGCACTCTGCGAATGCTCAAGGAGCACTCTGCTGACCGAGCACATCTCTAGGTCCTCGATTGTACTGAACTTTTTCAGACCCGTGGTTGTATTCTTCTTTTGTTTTGTTTTTCAAGACAGATTTTCCCCTGTGTAGCCCTGGCTGTCCTGGAACTCTGTAGACTAGGCTGGCCTCGAACTCACATAGATTTGCCTCCCCTCGCCTCCCCAGTGCTGGGATTAAAGGTGTGTGCCACTACTCCTACCTCAATGGTTTGTATCCTTGTGAGAGCTTTGCTCCCAGTTTTTTTCATTTTTATTTATTTATTTATTTATTTATTTGGTTTTTCGAGACAGGGTTTCTCTGTAGCTTTGGAGCCTGTCCTGGAACTAACTCTTGTAGACCAGGTTGGCCTCAAACTCACAGAGATCCACCTGCCTCTGCCTCCCGAGTGCTGGGGCTCCCGGCTTTTAATAGTTATTAGAAAAGAAGATGGGTGCTGGGCAGCAGTGGAGGACACTCGGGGGACAGAAGCAGGCAGTTCTCTGTAAGTTCAAGGGCAGTCTGGTCTACAGAGCTAGTTCCAAGACACAGTCAGGGCTGCACAGAGAAACCCTGTCTCGAAAAACAAAACAAACAAAAAGAAAAGAAGATGGGTGATATGATCGAACCCATTCATAAGCACATAGCTGGGCAGAAATAGCCCTGTTTGTGGCCTCAGCTGCTGGCTGGCAGGCAGCCCAGAGACACAGCCCTGGCATCTGTCTGTTAGCTGATAGACAGACATAAGTGTGGTGTCCCATGAATTGGGCACCCCTGGGGTGTCTGTTTAAAGGACAAGAAGTATGAACAAAGGTCAAGGCTGGTGAGATGGCTCCGTGGATAAAGGCGTTTACGTGCAGCCAAGCCTGAGATGGATTCCAAGAAATTACATGGTGGAAGGAGAAAATGAACTCCTGAAAACTGTCCTCTGCTGAGCACACGTGCACCTACACCAACACACACACACACACACACACACACAATCACACACACACACATAATCACACACAAAATGTCTAAACCGGGTGTGCTGGCACACATCTTTAATCCCAGCACTTGGGAAGCAGAGGCAGGCAAGATCTCCATGAGTTTGAGGCCAGCCTGGTATACAAAGCGAGTTCTCGGGCAGCCAAGGCTACACAGAGACCCTGTCTTGAAAAACAACAAAATGAAACAACAAAAATGTTTAAAAACAAACAAACAAACAAAAAACAAAAGCTACAACCTGGGCACTCAGCTTCTTTAGGATGTAACTGTCCCTAGGCTGGCTGCAGATCACGGGCACTGAGACTGGGGAACACATTCTAGATTCCAGGGCCTGAGTGTGGTAGTGTATGATTATAATACCAACATTTGGGGGACTGAGGCGAGATAGTCACAGCTACAGGGCAGGACCTTGCTTCAAGGGCCCTGGTATCAAATTCTGACTGTGCTACTTGCCAGATGTCCGCACCAAGTCATGGCCTTTCTGTGCCTGTTTCCTCTCCTGTTTAGCTTACTGCCAGAGAGACCTCACAGCTCTCCTGTGATAACCAGGCACAAAGACGTCTGGGAAGTTCTTAGCCCAGAGCCTGGCTAACAACCACGGGCTGACTAATCACATTTATCCTAAATCCCTCGCCCTCTAGGCCTGTGACTCTAAGATCTGAGTGTACGGAGAAGAAAAGACAACGGCTCCTGGCCACTGCCAGGGTTCTCTGCAGGCAACTGCCCAGCCTGCGGCAGGAGAGGGAGGCTCAGCCGCCTAGCCTGGCTGCCAAGGAGGGAGATGAGCAGCTGGACGAGGGGGAAACTGGAGAAGACGGCCTCAACAAAGGGCTGTTCAAGACCCTCAAAGCCCCATTGTTCCCGCTGAGGACCGCCAGGGCCTGGTTTCTCAGACTTTGCTCAACGAGAAATACAAATATCACTAGCTGGTGACCCAGCTAGTTGGCATCTGAGACAAGCTTCCTGTAATAATAGCACAGCAAACACACCCACAGCTCTCAAGATAGTCCTGCTTTAATCATTGTTTCTTCTGGGGTGTGTGTGTGATGTTTCTCAGGAGCTGTCCACCTGTTTTTGTTTTTTTTCACACATTTATTGGCGTGTGTGTGCCCAGCAAAGGTGTGGAAATCAAAGGACAACCTCTGAGTCTTTTCTCTTCTACCATGTGGGTTCCAGGGATCCAGTTGAGGATGCCAGATTTGGTGGTAACCTTTGCTTGCTAAGCCATCCCCATCCCCATTGCATTTGTTAAGGCGGGGTCTCTCTGGGACCTGGGGCTTCTATCCCCCAGCCCTGGGCATAAAAGCTCTGAACATCTTAGGCCGGTACTGGGGATTCAGCCCAGCTCCTCACGTTGGTGTGGCAGCACTCTGGCCTGACATAGCTCCTCAGTCTCTGGTTACCTCATGTTTTATGAAGCCCAAGCTGACTTTGAGTTTAGACCCTCCTGCCTCAGCTTCCAGACTGTCTGGGACTGCAGGTGTGCCAGCGCGCTGGGCACAGTCACACTCCTGATAATGAGCCTCACCCTGAGTCACCCCAGAGGGCCTGGTGCTGTTGGTCTATATTCCCAGCTCTTTGGGAAGCTGAGGTGGGCAGATCAACCTTCAGGGACTGTAACGTAAACTCACACCCATCCAGCATACAACCGTGAAAAGAGGCTGGGCCGGCAGCTCAGTGATGCTTGCCTAGCCTGTGGGGGCCCTGGGCTCCATCCTCAGCACCTACTTGAGCCATCCCTCAAAAACAAGCAGCGACTCAGGTGTGGCCAATCAGAGACAGGGAACTCAGAGGAGGCAGAGTTCAGAGCAGTCATGTGACTCGGTCTGGGCCAGTGTGGCCTGGTTCTCTGTGCAAACGTGCCCTCTGGAGTAGGAGCTAGGTTGGTCTCGTGTGTGCAGCTGCCCTCCCAGCTCCAGCCACACACACAGCACACACAGACAAACCTGTCAGACTCGTGGGGCTCGAGAACAACATCCAAGCGCCTCACTCCACCACACTAACTGCTTACAATCTTTTTTTTTTTTTTTTTTTTTTTTTCCGAGACAGGGTTTCTCTGTAGCTTTTGGTTCCTGTCCTGGAACTAGCTCTTGTAGACCAGGCTGGCCTTGAACTCACAGAGATCCGCCTGCCTCTGCCTCCCGAGTGCTGGGATTAAAGGCATGCGCCACCACTGCCCGGCTAACTGCTTACAATCTTATTATGTAGTCCAGGCTACCCTCAAATTCATGATCCTCTTGCCTAAATTTCCTGAAGAGCTGAGTTTCTTTTTAAACGTGCAGGTGTTTTGCCTGTGTGAATGTTTGTGTACCAGGTACATAACTGACACGCATGGTGGCTATAAATAGAATCCCCTGGAACTGGAGTTACAGATGGTTGTGAGCCACCATGTGGGTTCTGAGAATCCAACCCAGGTCTTTTGGAAAAGCAGTCAGTGCTCTTAACTAGTAAGCCATCTCTACATCTCAAGAGTGGGGTTTCTTCCCATTTTTTATTTTAGGAAAGCTCTCATGTAGCTCAGATTAGCCTTAAACACACAACACAGCTGAGGCCAACCTTGAAAGGCAATCCCTTTGCTCAGGGTTGGGATTACAGGTATGGACCACCATACTCGGCAGCTTTTCTTACTATTCATACCCAACAACTTGGAAGTCACTTTGGGCTGGGAGTGGGGGACTCACAGCGCTCGCTCTGCATGTAGCGGGTCACTCCTTCGAGGCTCAGCTCGTCCAGCAGACGCTCCTTCTGGGAGCCCAGACCCAGGGTCTGGGAGAATAAGTTCCGCAGAAAGTCCACTGACCAACAACAAGAGAGACAGTGCCAGGTAGGCATCGGGCCGGGGCCCAAGGGCCTTGCCCACCCGGTGTCTCCCACAGGCAGCAGCCTCAGGTACCAAGTTCATTATTACACGCTTCAGACATCACTCCTGGAGGAGTCCTGCCCCAGACCCCCAGGCCCCAGACCCCCTCCCAGCCCTCCTCCAGGAAGACACTTACTCTCTGCCTCTCCACCAGTAGCTCCTTCCTCAGTGTCCGAGTCTGAGTCCTGGAAGGGGCAGTGGGATGGCCAAGCCCAAGAAGTGGGGTTAGGGAGGCAGGGAGGGGGAAGGGATGGGGGTGACGCCTGGTTCAAAGAGAGTAGGGCTCTGACCAGGAGGTGGCCTGAGAAGCAGAGGGCCAGCATGAGGGCTCCGGGACAGGTGGCCTATAGGGAGGGGATTCACATCTCCTCGTGTATCTGACTTTCTAGGCCTTATCTTTTTTGAAATGGGGTCTCTCTGGCTGGCCTAGAACTGGCTATGTAGACCAAGCTGACCCAGAACTCCCAGAGATCCACCTGCCTCTGTCTTCTAAACTTAAAAGGCATGAACCACCATGCCTGCCCCATCTTTTTTGTTTTGACAGGGTCTCACTATATATCCCTAGTTGGCCTAGAACTCACTATGTAGACTAGGGTGCCCTTGAACTCAAAGATCAACTTGCCTCTGCCTCTCTCTGACTTCTGAAATTAAAGGCACATGCCACCATGCCTGACTTGCTTTTTGAGATAGGGTTTTATGTAGCCCAGGCTAGCCTCACACTTGCTATGAGGTCTACATGACCTTGAACTTGGGATCCTCTTGTCTCCACCTCCCCAGTGCTAGCATTACAGTGTGATGCTTTAGATCATGTCTACCATTCTAACCAGTTGGCCATCACAGCCTGATAAGGTTAGGACTGAAACGAGGGTTTCATGCACACTGGGTAACCACCGCCATTGGAGCTAGGCCTCCAGCCTGGGGGCCTCAACTTGTCCATGCGGATCAGAGGTTGCTGTGAGACTGAACAGTGAATCCCTTGGCCTCTCAGCTGGTCCTCTCCACTTCCCTGGGCCACCTGCCACAGCTATGCTACAGCCTAGGCAATGGTGATGCTGCTTCTGTCCCCATATGTGAGCCTCTCAAGGTGACCCCACCTTGCTCCAACCATGTTCCAGAGTGGCCTCAGCATCTCCCCAAAGCCAGCTCCTGCTCCTAGTCCACTTGCCAAATGGCCTTACTGTCCCTTAATTGGCTTCCCTACCCCACCCTGCCCTCATGCCAATTTCCCGCGTACCCACTCAGGCTCCTGATAGCCCTCCTCTTACCCCTATCTCTCCATTCCAGAGCTCCACCTGATTCAGTCAGTTCTCTCCCCTGGGGTACTGCTCTGGCTTCCTTGACTCAGTTTCCATCTCTGACCTCCTCTTCCCCATATGTGTTGGCCTGTTTAGGACAGTCCACCCCTTTTTCCTTTAAGCCCCCTCAAATCACAAACATCTGCTGAGTGCCATAACATCAGCCGCACAAGGGCAGGGGCTTGATGCCCAGCCTAGATAACAGGACTTCCAGAACCATCTGCCACTAAATGCATGCAGACTGGGTGCTAGGCTAGGGCTGGTCTTGCAGTAAGTGTCAGAGACAGTCTGACCAACTCAATCAACTAACTGCTCAAAAGTCCCCAGACTACCCCTTCCCTACTATGCTTCCAAACCTCCTTTTCAAATCACTTTTTAGAAAAGATTCTTTTGTCATTACTGCTGTTTTGACACAGGGTCCATGTAACCCAGGTTGGTTCCAACTTGCTATGTATCTGAGGGTGACCCCAAATTCCTGAGCTACCTACTTTTATTTCTGGGGGGCTGAAACTGCAGGAGTATGGCAGCACCACGCCTGACTCTCAAATGATTGCTTCCTGAGTTTTAAAGCTAAAAAGCTGGCAAGAGGGTGCACCAGGGAGACATCCTCGCCACTCAGCCTGACCATCTGAGCTTGCTCCCAGGTTCCTCACGGTGGGAGGGGAGGATAGATGTCCTCGGATGACCACACATGCACTGTACATCCTACCCACAAAACAAATAGAAATTAAAAAGAGACAGGTCTTACTATTTCGCCCAAGCTGGCTTCCAGCCCACAATCCTCCCTTTTCAGCCTCCTGAGCCTTTACGGAATGAACAAATGCTGAAGCAAAGTCAAGCAGCAGTTAAACAGAAAGAACTCCAGCGGCTTTCCCTGCATGAGTTTTTACGCATTGATATGGTAGACGTGGGTCTTGCCAGAGTATGATACTTCATCATGTTTCACAGACCTACCTAATTCTTTTATAGATTTACTTTAATATGTGTATATGTGTATGTTTGTGCATGTGGAGTCAGAGCCCCTGGAACTGGAGTTACGGCCACTTGTGAGCTCCTGACTTGTGAGCTCCCGATATGGGTTCTGGGAATGGAGCTCGGGTCCTCTGGAGTAGCAGTATACATTCCTAGCCACAGAGCTGTCTTTCCAGCCACCCACCTCATTCTTTATTGTGGCTCCATAGTAACACATTGTATGATGAACCACAGTTCATTGACTCCCTCTCCTGACGGCCACTGGGGCCTTTTTAGCGCTGCCCTGTCTGGAAAATGCCGCAACTGATACCACCACATCATCTTTGTCACTGAGACCCCTTCTGACTGAAATCTTTTGGTCTGGCATTGAGTCTTATTTTAGGAGCCAGACAAGTAAGATAGCAGGGACTCACAGCAGGCTGTCCCAGTTCTGCTGTGCACTTATGGGAGTACTGTTGACCACAGCTTCCATACCTGCCTCCCTTTGGAGAGTGATCTCATAGCGATGGGCATGCTGGCATTCAGTGGCGGTAGGCACTGTCTAGCACAATGCTTCTCAGCCTGTGGGTGGTGACCCCCTGGGGCTTGAACGACCCTTTCACAGGGGTCGGGGATTAGACATCCTGCATATCAAATACTTACAATTCATAACAGTAGCAGAATGACAGTTAAGAAGTAGCAATGAAAATAATTTTATGGTTGAGGGTCACCACGACCTGAGGAACTGTATGAAAGAGTTGCAGCATTAGGAAGGCTGAAAACCACTGGTCTAGTACAGGAAGACAACCTGGCCCCTGGGGGTTCTGCAGGCATTGGCAAGTGTCTCCACACATCTTTGAGATGGCTCATCTACCTCCCCACTTTAGTGGACCCGTTTCCTATAGGTTTCAAGCCCTCCCCTTTCCCTCTACACTGGTTCGAGTTCCGCATCTGTAAAGTGTCCATGAAAGGCCTCACGCTCACTGGGATGCCAGAGAGACTAAATGAGGTCACGGAGACTGGAGTGCAGTCAGAACACCAATGAAGGACCACCCCGCAACAACTACCAAAAACATCTCCTCCTCCTCCTTGCTCCTCAGGTCTTCGCACTCTGCAGGGAACACCATAGCTGATCTTATTTAAGAAAATTCGAAATCACTTCACTTAGAACACTATGGCTATATCTTGGTCTTGTTCACTAGCCTGCGAGCTCCTCCAGGGATGAGTTTCGCTAGACCCGTCTATCATCTCTGACCCACAAAGTTTGCTGTGCACTCCTGGAGTCCCCCCCCCCCCCCAGACAGAGTCTCACTATATGGCCCAACCTGTCTCAAATTTCTCCATCTTCCTACCTCAGCCTCCCAGGCACTGGGGGTACAGATGGCATCATACCCAGCTTCGGTGCCACTTTTACAATCAACCCTATAAGGTCATTTCCCCCACCCCATGAGATCTGTGAGTTTGGGAATCAAACTGGAAAACTCTCTTCCAGGTCCAGCACAAATGAGGTTCAGAAGGAATTGAGGAAGGGGTGGGCAACAGAAAGACAAGAGGACAATATGGAAGGGCAACCGGTGGTTGAGGCTGTATATTTTCCCTTGACAGTCCCCAGAAGCCACCATTCCCCCAGGAGGTTGTATTAATCCCCCAGATGGAGTTAGAAATCAGGACCATAAGCCAAGGGTCCTTGGGTAAAAGCCTCCCCTTGCCACTCCCCCCCAGTTTGGAATGAGGAACCAAATCCATCTCTCTCCTTCCCTCCACCCCTTTCCCCATCTCACCTGAGCCTCCTGCACCTTCCCTGCCTGCGTCTCCAGAGGGTCAGAGGCTGGGGAGGAGGGGGAGCAGACGTGGTTACAGTGCGGGGTAATAGTTAAAGGGATGAAGGGTTCATAGTGGTGGAGGCAACAAGAGGACCCACCAACCTAGTTCTCCTGGAGTCGGGGATGGTAATAAGACTGTCAGAGATGGGGAAAGGCTTATTTTAGAAAGGAAGACTGTGTGAGGAGGAAAGGCGGAGGGGAAGGTTTAGGAGGAGAAAGCAGGCGAAACAGGACTGAAGGAAGACTTCAAAGTTAGGCAGGGCATGGTAGTGTGTGTGCCAGGCAGGAGAACGAAGGAGGGCGAAGTTTTTCATGAGAAGTAAGTAGGGATACCTCTGCTCAGAGTTAAGTGTGGGCGAGGAGATGCAGTGGAGGTGGAGGTTTAGGAGAGGCACAAGAACCGAAGGAAAGAGATAGGGGCAGCAGGGGTTCCCCAACATCCTACAGTTGCCCCTAACACCAAACAACCTTGGCAACCGGGATCGTGGCAACTTTGGTCCTTAGCAACGAGGGTCCTCAGCAACCAAAGTGCAAGAAACGCGATCATTAAGAACTTGGCAAACGGACCCTTAAAAATCTCACAACCCAGAATCCCACCATCCTAGCAATACCGACCACTTAGCAACGGTCCTCCAAATCCCACTCCCTTCACGCAGCCCCTTTCTCCCACCCTACCGAGCCTGCCCTCGGGCCCCGGGGCCTGCAGCCCAAAGCCAGGCCCCGGTGCGGCCCGACCCTCCCACCTGGGCCCCCGACTCACGGTCCGGCTCGGCCATGGGAGCGGGTGGGGGCACTCGGAGCTGTCACCGACTGCTCTGTCCCGTGACGGCACCGGAAACAAGGTCCAGATAAGCTATAGGACTACAACTCCCGGCAACCAACGCAGTCCCGCAAATGCTTTCGTACACTGCGCCTCTCATGGCAAAAAACTACAAATCCCAAAAGGCCTGGCGCCTTAAGTAGCCATATTGATAAAGGGCGTCTGGAAAAAGTGGGGAAACTCAGAGAGCTAGTGTCTACCTTATTATTCTGATTGGTTCTGGTGCTGTATAGGGGCGGAGTGTAGCTATTTAACACATTCTGATTGGGTAGATGAGGGGGCGTGTTGGGGAATTCCCGGCAGGGCGGAAGCACTGGAACGCACGGCAAAGCCCAGCGACAGGCGGGCGACCACAGGGGGCCACCCGAGGTGGCTGGGGCCATGGCCGGGGTCGCTTGCTTGGGAAAAACTGCGGACGCCGATGAATGGTGCGACAGCGGCCTAGGCTCTCTAGGTCCCGACGCAGCGGCTCCCGGAGGACCAGGACTGTGCGCAGAGCTGGGCCCGGAGCTGTCGTGGGCGCCCCTGGTCTTTGGCTACGTCACTGAGGATGGGGACACGTGAGTAAACCTTAAATTACTAAACGGAGCCCCAGGATCCTACCTGAGTCTCCATTAGCCTATGATTCCTGTGGCTTATTATCTTCTAGTTCCTAACTCTTGACTTCCGATGCTGGACTTCCTGACCCCTAACTCCCAAATACTAAACTGTGAGAAGACTAGTCTTACGTTCACCCACAGTCAAGTGTCTCACCTTTCTTGAATTCTAAATTTGTGCTCCTGTAATCCATATCCTACCTACTGATCCCCAAACCGGATCTGAACCTTCCCGACACCAGGCCCCCGGACCTTTGTTAGCCCTCTAGTTCCCACACCTTCTGACCCCTTGCTTCCAAATGTGGTCTTTGATCTTAGCTACCCTTGTAATAAGCCAGATTTTGACTTCCAAAATTAGTCCTTGGCCCTGAGTCTACAACTCTGCTACTTCCAGCATGGATCTGCAAATAAGAAATTGAGCTGCTGGGCGCAGTGGCAGTCAGCACTTGGGAGGCAGAGGCAGGCAGATCTCTGAGTTTGAGGCTCCTTGATCTACGAAGTGAGTTTCCGGCCAGCCAGAGCTACATAAAATTCAGAATCTCTTCCAGGACAGGCTTCAAAGCTACAGAGAAACCCTGTCTCGAAAAACTAAAAAACCAAAAAAATAAAATAAAAAAATCAGAATCTCATTTCCACGAGGATAGATTTGTCTGTTAACCAAATGTTCCTCCCAGACCACCGCCTTCCAGCAGCTGTTTTTAGCTGAGCTGGTGTGATGGTACACACTTGTAATCCCAGCCCTCCAAGGGGCTGAGGCAAAGAGGATCTCTAAGTCTGAGGATAGCTTGGGAGGACCTGGTATCAAAAATGAGGGGAGAGGAAAAGGAGGAGAGGGAGATTGAAAAATAATTTTAAGAATCAGGAAATTGTGCTTAGTCGCTAAGCTGGGGAGAAGGGACAGCTGTGGTGACGGTCTGTGTAAGGGATTGTACCCGGGATTTTTTGTCCTTTGTGCTTATTGCGTGTGCCCAGTGACTCAGTGCCTGACCCATGAGGGGAACACAATAAACACGAATCTTAAAGAACCAGGTGTTGTTTCCTTAATTTTCTTATTTTTCACTTTCCATTTTATTGGTTCTTGTTCCTTTATTATTTCATTCTGATCACTTTAGATTTAGATGTAGATTTTGTAATTTTCTTTTTCCTCTTTGCTTTTTTTTGTTTTGTGATATACAGTCTCATGTAACCCATGGTGGTCTTGATCTTGCTATTCAGCTGAGGATAGCCTTGAACTTTTCATCCTCCTGCTTCTAGCTCCCAAGTATACATCACTATGCCGTGTGTGTGTGTGTGTGTGTGTGTGTGTGTGTATGACTAGAGGAGAACCCTGAGCTGTTGATTTGTTTTGAGACAGGGCCTTTCACTGGCCGAGCACTCACCACAGAGGCTAGATTAGCTGCTTGAGAATCTCAGGGATCCTCACCCCTTCTCCTTCTCTGAGACCAAGTCTCTCTGTATAGTTCTTGGCTGGCCTGGAATTCACCGTGTAGACCAGGCTGGCCTCAAACTCACAGCAATCCATCTGCCTCTGCCTCCTGAGTGCTGAGATCAAAGATGTATGCCTACACGCTCCATCCAGGGATCGTGTGCCCTTGCCTCCCTAGTGCTGGAATTATAAGCATTTAAAACCACAACCAAATTTTTCTTTTCTGAACTAAGGTCACTGTGCGTTACCTACCAACTATTTCCCAGCCTTGTCCCCCAATCCCCCCTCCGTTAACCCCTTTTTTAGTCAGTGCCTCACTGTACAGCCTGGGATAGCCTTGAATTATATATATATATATATATATTTTTTTTTTTTTTTTTTAATCAAGACAGGGTTTCTCTATGTGTAGCCCTGGCTGTCATGGAACTCAATCTGTAGACCAGTAGACTAGGCTGGCCTGAAACTCAGAGATCCGGCTGCCTCTGCCTCCTGAATTATTTTACTTTATGTGTATAGATGTTTTTCACTTGCACACCTGTGTGTGTGAATTGTATATGTGCTTGTTGGATCCACAGGAACTGGAGTTATGGATGGTGTGAGCCACCATGTAGGTGCTGGAAATCAAACCTGGGTCTTCTGCAAGAGCCATAAGTGCTCTTAGCTGGTGAGCCATTGGTTCAGCCTCTAGCCTTACACTCTTGGTCTTACACATGTGGTGTGTGCCCGGCTCTTGCTCTGCTGGGGACTGACTATGTCTGCGCTCTACCGACTCACCTTTCCACTTTGCTAATGAGCTTTGAGCACTACAAATATTCCCTGTAGAGAACTTCTGATATGCTGTGTTTTTGTTTTCACTTATTTGAGTATATTTTCTAATTTCTCTTGATTTCTCCTTTGGCCAGTAGATTATGAAGAAGCATGTTCATTTTTCACCCTTGGAGGAATTTCCAGATGTCTTTCTGTTACCGGTTTTGAGTTTTGTTTCACTGTGGGCAGAGAAAATTCTTTGCTTGATTTGCACTCTCTAGTTTCTCTTTCCATGCTGGGCATCAAAGCCAGGCCTTCTGGGTGCCAGGCAAGTACTCCATCAGGAATGGTGTCCCCATGCCAATTCATTTTGATTTACTGAGACTCGGTTTTTTGGCTCAGAAATTGACCCTGAGTGTTATGTGAGTACTTATAAAGAGTTTATAAAATGGGGTTGGAGCGGTAGCTCGCTGGTTAAGAGCACTAGCTGCTCTTGCAGAAGACCCACCCAGTCCAGTTCCCAGCACTCACATGGCAACTAACAACTATCTATAACCCTAGTTTCCAGGGGTCTGATGCCCTCTTCTGGCCTCTGTTAGTTAGCTTCCGCGTGCATGTCATGTGCATCCATCCACTCAGGCACACATACACTAAATAAATAAATAATCTGTGATTTAGAGGTAATGTTGATTAGCAGTGTAATGTTCAAAGCTGGGCGTGTAATTCCAGCTCCAAAGAAGACTGAGGCAGGAGGATTCTCAAGTTCAGGTTCAGCCTAGGAACAGAGTGAATTCAAGTCCAGCCTGGGAAACATGAATGGCAAGGCCCTGTCGCAAAATAAAGGGGACAAAGAGACTGATGAGCGTGTGCTTCCCTGCATGCATGGAGCCTTCAGTTCCATCCGCTACTGCAAAAACAAGACAGCAACAACCACACACCCTGCTCTCCAAGTCTGCTGTCTCTTTGCTGATGTTTTCTGTTTCCTCGAACAATTTGTGACAGAGACCTATTGAAATCTCCAAGTCTGTGGATTCATCTGTTGGTTTTCATTCTGTTAGCTTTTGCTTTATGTAATCTGGAGGTCTATTATTAGAGCCATAGTGTGCGTGTGTGTGTGTGTGCGTGTGTGTATGTGTGTGTGTGTTGTCAGTCAAGCCTGAGGAGCAAATGTTAGGCATGTGCTCCCCAACCCACATCCCAGCCCCAGCCCTTGTTTTCCCCTTTTTTTGTATTTTGTTTTTTGTGTCAGGGCTTCACTGTGGAGCCCAGGCTGGTCTTAAACTTGTGATCCTTCTGCCTCAGCTTCTGAAGTGCTAAGATTAGAAGCTGGGGACGTTATACCTAGTTTGTCTTTGTGTGTATATATTTGTGTGTGGAGGCCATTGGTCGGTGTTCGCTGTCTGCCTCATTTGCTCTTCGCTTTGTTATTATCTGAGATGAGGCTTCACAATGTAGCCCTCGCCGACCTGGAGCTCACCTGCAGACCAGACTAGCCTGGAATTCACAGAGCCCACCAGCCTTGCCTCTTTCACACATGCCACCATGCCCAGCTGTTCTTGGTGACCAAATCTCATTATTTAGTATTTGACCCTGCTGGTCTAGAACTCACCATGTTGCCCAGTCTGGCCTTGATGTAACAATCCTCCAGCCTCAGCTTCTCCAGGTACTGGAATTTGAGCTGGCTAATTTCCTTAGTAAACACTGGTTCTTTTTTTTTTTTTTTTTCCTTTTTCTTTTTCTTCGGAGCCTGTCTTGGAACTAACTCTTGTAGATCAGGCTGGCCTCGAACTCACAGAGATCAGTCTATCTCTCCCTCCCAAGTGCTGGGATTAAAGGCATATGCCACCACTGCCCGGCTGAAGACCCTTGTCTTATCTCAGAACACCAACCAACCAACCAAAGTAGCTCCCATCCCTGACTGTTTGTAGCTCCTTGTTTATTGACCTCTCCCTTTGTCCCCAGGGCCCTGCACTTGGCCGTGATACATCAGCATGAACCCTTCCTGGATTTCCTCTTGGGCTTCTCCGCCGGCACTGAGTACCTGGACCTGCAGAATGACCTAGGCCAAGTGAGCCACTGGGGATGGTCACTTTAGGGAGCCGGGTCCAGGATTGTCATTGTGGCCCTAACCCCTGCTCTCTCTCCCTGTAGACAGCCCTGCACCTAGCAGCCATCCTGGGGGAGGCATCCACGGTAGAAAAGTTGTATGCAGCTGGCGCAGGAGTGTTGGTGACTGAGCGAGGGGGC